GAAATTGAGATATTGTATTTTTTGGATGTTATATGACATGTACATCACGAAAAACTTTCCCGTCAGTCTGTCGGTATGTCTGTCGGTCTATCCGCTAATCCTTGGACTGTCTATAACTTGAAAAGCACCGCTCGGATTTTGATGAAATTTTCACACAGGTTATGCCAAGAACGAAAAAGCTTTATAGTTTTGAAAGATCGCTCCAGTGGTGGCGGAGCTAAGGGAAAAATGGATAACTTCAATATATCTTAAACTTTTGTTTTTGACGTTTCATAGGCTTCAGATAGATTTCAAAGAAGTTTTTGGAATGTTAACTCTACGTACCTATTTTACACATCATAGATTTTCTGTACATGCTCCGTTACTGCCACGCTGCGGAGTCTGACGAGTGGACTTATCTAGCGGTGAGACATGGGAACATGTCAGATCGACGGTACTATCGATAGATTTCTGTTTGTCATGTTCATAGCTAACTTTTTCTGAGAGAGGCTAACTTGTGCCGAACATAATCCTTTATAAACTGATGACAGCTTTGTATGGAAAGGTCAGAGCCAACCTACTTGACGCTAGTTTTATGCAGTATGCTAGAACTGCATATATGAAATTGAGACTAAACAGAACCCTTTAGAAATGTCGTGAAACAACTAGAAACTCAAGGTTGTACATCTATATTGATAAGTATGGGAGGATCACTGGGGTTAAATGTTGACAGATGATATCTGGTCTTTCAATAATGTCAAAAACAAATATCTACTCAATTTTTGACCCTCCAGTCAAATGAATGAATGATAATATACTAAGTGACATATAAATCCGAACACCCAGTTTAAATGGTTTTATTTTAATAAAAGTTGCTGAATGTATTTATCTTACTGTAACTAACAAGTGTAAAAATTTTCAGCCTTATCAGTTGGACATTCCGGTTTTTATGCTGCTTTTTTTTAATTCACTAACGCCCTAAAATGAATATTTCAGCCGCAGTAAAGAATCAACGTTGGCAGATTTTGGTTCTTGACATCCTTTACGATCGGTTACGATGCCTAGAGTACGGAGACCTGTACGATTTCGTCAACTTAGTGAGTTTGATAGGGGCCGTATAGTGGGACTTCGGGAAGCTGGACTTTCTTTTCGGGCAATTGCAGTTAGAGTGCAAAGAAGTGTAGACACTGTGGTTAGGTGTTGTCAGGCATGGCTTCGAGAAGGCCGTACGCAAAGAGCAAGGGGCACTGGACGCCGCCGTAGAACAACAGATCGTGAAGATCGCCGCCTAAGATTATTGGCCTTAAGGGACCGTTTATCCACTACCAGGTCCATTGCAAATGCATGGTTTGCAGAACACGGAAGACCTATTGGCATGCGAAGTGTTTACCGACGAATGAGAAGTTTTGGCTTGTTTTCATACCGGCCACACTGGGTCCTCCCTTTAACTCGAGAACACCGACGTAATCGACTTGAGTGGTGCAGGCAACGGTCACTCTGGGATCAGGAATGGAACAGTATTGTCTTTAGTGACGAGTCTCGATTTTGTTTAGGCATGCACGATGGTCGTGCCAGGGTTAGAAGGCGACGTGGTCAAAGGAGGAATCCACAGTTTTTTGTTGAAAGACATGTTCATCACACTGTTGGAGTTATGGTTTGGGGTGCTATAGCTTATGGTTCCAGGTCACCTTTAATCTTCATCAGAGGTAACATGAACGCGCAGCGTTATATCCACGAAGTTCTAGAACCCCATCTTTTACCCTATCTTGACACCCTGGCAGATCCAACTTTCCCACAAGATAATGCCCGACCACATGTTGCAAGAGTCACAATAGACTTCTTTCCATGGCCACCAAGATCTCCCGACTTATCCCCATTGAGCACGTGTGGGATATGATGGGTAGAAGATTGCTCAATTTGCAACGTCCTCCTCAGACTCTACAAGCACTTCGAGAGGAGTTGGTGGTTGCCTGGAATGATATACCACAGGAGGACATTGACCACCTGATCAGAAGCATGCCTAGGCGCGTTGGAGAATGCGTAGCACATCAGGGTGCATCCACACATTATTAAAGGTCAAAGGGCTTTAAAGCAGTGCAATCATTTTAAAATTTTTATCATTTACTTATTATGTTTCATTAAGTACTTATACAAAATTTTATTAAAGTAAAACCATTTAAACTGGGTGTTCGGATTTATATGTCACTTAGTATAGTATGATCTTTTTCATCATGGCATCATGGAATTTTTACCTTCCTGAGTGATTATCTCAATACAAAAAAAACAAGAACTGAAAGAAAATCGAGTAGACTGACGGCGAAGTCTAGCCGTATGCTACTATAACTACTTCAAACGTCAATGTGTGAACCGATATTGGGCATTTTTACTGAAAAATGTGGATAGAATGTCTATGAAAACTTCTTTCAGACAGTACGTTTTGTCGATGGTTATCGTATTTTCAAGAATGCTTACCTACCTGACTGAAAACATAAAAGCAGATGTAGCGGTGTAGCTACACTAACTTGATTACATATCGGATCTCTCAAAAACTGGTAGGTCTCGATTTACAGGCCGGTTCAAAGAGAAATGCATAGTTGTCCACTGTAGGCTTGAGAAATAATGACAAATTTTATTTCGTATAATCCTTGATGACATCTCTGAAACGCGGTTCGGGTTTTTCGTATTGTTTCTCATTTATTTTGTCATCACAGATATAGAAATGTTAGGGTCACATTTATAGACGCAGGATTCTGTGCTGTTTGAGGAATTATCTCTCGGATTTTAAACCAACAGTAACGCTCTAAATTTTCAAAATGTTTAATTCCTCAATCTTATAGGATCTTTAAAATATTCAAAATTTTAAGTTGTTTTAAGTGGACTATATCTGAAGTATCCAATGTTATGTAAAGTCAAGTATTTTATATATTATTGCAAAAGATGAAAGTGAATGGTGAAGAAAATATTTTCCGTTTCCTGTTTTTATACAGAAGCAACCACGCAGACAGAAGCCTAAACAGCAGAGCACCGCGGCTTAAATACACTTTGTTAATCCGACTTTTGAGCTGCCTCAGGTCAGAAGAACTAGGAAAAGCCTCCTCAGGCAGATTGTTCCACAATCTCGATACCCTAGGAACAAAGGAGCGGTCGCACCGGCCAGTTAATGACGTACGAAGTTCGACACTGTTTGAATGCAGCGGCACCATGGTGGAGAGTTCTGCGGAGCAAAGCCCGTGGACATAGCGGTAGAATAGAGTTAAATCACGGTATTTTTTAATCTATTTTTTGCCTTCGAAATACTTCCATTATTTTTTGTATTACCTTCTACATTTTTATTTAAATTCTGCGCATCAACCATTACTGGTCTCCCCGAAACATGCGCTGCAGTTGATTAGCTGATAACATTATGTTTAATTGGGCATTCAAAATGAGTGCCCACCAGTAAGAATTCGACTTTGAGTATGCGGACCTGTCAAATGAAGATAAAGCTTGTTAGGCGAATCTGTATACCAGGAGAGATTCCTAATTAAGATATATGGCAGAACTTTTGTCATGTAAAATGTTAGCAGATTTCGGGATGACTGCACAAAAGATTCATTATTCGACAATGTAACGGTAAAAAATGTATTCACAAATCTTGGCAATTAACTGGAGTACCTAGAATTTATTATAAGTACCGTTAAGCAATAAAAATATTGTTCGGGAGCTTTTAACTTTCCTGATTAACAGCGGCATTCGATATTTTAATGATCAAACAATTTCTGAAGATAAATCCAAAGATACAACACGTGAGTTCATCAAAGTAGACCATTACGTATCCTGAAACAGCGTTAAGCCAATAAACGGTAGACCATTTCACTTTTACTTGCCGCGACTAATTTATCTTCACAACACCATGAAAGTTAGCTTCGTCAATAAAAACCACTGTCGACAAGGTATTGTTACGCATTAACTTTACTTTCATGGGTCATACATTCCTGTGAATTTTAGGGATTAAATTGCTTAGATGAGTGAATCGAAAATGTTAGATAAATGCAACTTGTATACTTATAATACATAAAGCCAGTTAAATGCGAAAATGCAAAACATCTAGCTTCTGATAATAGCCAACTTATTGTTATGAAGAGTATTTCAGAAATAATTTAGTAGTTTCCATGAAGATAGTGACAAGTAGCTTGACTTTGCACTTCTCACGCAACTCTGTCATCAGTTTATGAATCGGTAGGTTCGGCATAAGTTAAACCCTGCGAAAAAAGCTACGAACATGTATAACAAAAACATAAATGATCAAATTAGTCAAACAGGTTCGTACAATGCACAGTTGCGATCTATACATTTATTTCTACCGAGGGTACAGACCATCTGACAACGTTGCTATGACTAACCTCACCACTCGCCGCTCACGTCAGCCACCTGTCCGTCAGAACGCGTCGCGGATCCAGCGAGGATGAAAATATTTATCATTCGAGTTTTAAGGGCAAATCTATGATGTGCATTTCCAATTCTCTACCGGGGTTGGCAGAATTGAATACTGGCACTAAAAATAAGAAAGTAGAGATATACAGTCAACCACCTTTTATAATCCCCACCTCCCAGTTTGAAATGTTATGAAAATTATTAGGAGCCTCTGAAACGACAGAAAACGAAGTTTGAGCGCTTTTTATTTTATTTTTTTTTTGCAAAAACTACAAACCTTTTTTGTTGTTGGCATAGTAGTAAGCTTGTGTGAAAATTTCATCAAAATTCGAGCGGTACTTTCCATGTGATAGACAAGCTAAGGATTAGCGGACAAACAGACTAACGGCAATCAGTGACATGGTTTTTCGTGATGTACATGTCATATAACAGCCAAAAAACACAATATCTGGTTATCGAAAACTGCAATGTTGACAATACCTCCTCGCCAGTGCAGTGGCGTGAAAAATTTCAGACATTCCAATAAATTATAGCCTCCTGTGAAATCTCATCCTTGGTACACTGCATTTATTTATAACTATAGGACGTTAGTTACTGGGACACACAACCTTTACAGATCACTTGCAATGTTCTCTGTGAGCTTTGTAAGTTCCTTTTGACATATGAAGCATCCTCTACCTTGTCAGTTGGTGATAAAGAAATCGCAGGAAACGGTGCTGGTGCCATGTTTAAGTGTCTGTAAATATGTAAAACACTGATAAAACTATAGATTGACATATTCAGCAAGATTAAGGTCATTTGAGAGTTTTGAAAGGAACTAATGTCAACGATTTAGAAAATATGCAAAACCTGTGATAAGCTGTGAAGAAGATGAATCGTTATGGTTTTTTTATAGATGGACATTTGACATTGGTAATTTTTTAGCTGCCCACTGACTCATAAGGCTTTGGACACATATTGATTTTTATAATTATAATTCTTTATTAATTCAGACGCCGAGATAGATCTTGGAATCTCTTAGGCTTCTTCTGACACTTTAACTAAATTGAGCAAGAGTCTACACAGAATCAAGGTGTGTTCCAGTATTTTGAAATAATCACATGACTTGCAATCATTTTCTTATAGGAATGTGGTGATCCTACTTGTTAGGTTACAACATTTACATTTATCGTCGCCGATCTAAAATGCATCATTTTGATACAATTTAGCTTTTATGGATATTTACGGCTCACGATATTATCTGGGTATTTTATATATCCCAAGCAATAAAATAACTCAGAGGGTAGAACATTTTGACGACGATGGTTAAGATTTTTTGAAAGCCTTTCTGCAAATACATATACAAAAAAAACAGTACATAGAAAGCTGAATTACTGACAGAATATCAACTGATTGAGGCTACTACTATCCACGATAAGAGCCCGAACATACCGATACTTTTCAAGAGAACTATTTTTTAGCAATTTTATTTGGACTTTCCAATGTTTAATATGGTACATGTTCCATTGTAAATGTTGCTACCTCGTTATTATTATATTTCGCAAATTTGAAGAAAAAAATGAAAAATTAGGTAATTACAATGTGAGCAAAATTTTCTGTATTCTGTTTCTGATGAGCTAAACTGTACCTGCTTCCGAAACTTTATGAACAGCGGTAGAGGCCAAATCCTGAAAATTCCCAAAATGACAAACACAACCATGCTAAATATGCAATTTTAAGGTCCACCCAGACTCTCAGGGGGGCAACGGTCCCTGTGGGCGTCCAAGTATGGCATGAAGCTCGATAATTCCTTGGATTGACATTAAACTGTACATCCCCATTGTTTTAACACTACACTACCAGTATACCCAAATGATTTTTTGTATAATAATGGCCAACATACTTAGTTGTTTTGGAATTTCGGCAAACTATACTAAGTGACATATAAATCCGAACACCCAGTTTAAATGGTTTTATTTTAATAAAAGTTGGTGAATGTATTTATCTTACTGTAAATAACAAGTGAAAAAATTTTCAGTCTTATCAGTTGGACATTCCGGTTTTTATACTGCGGTTAGGTGTTGTCAGGCATGGCTTCGAGAAGGCCGTACGCAAAGAGCAAGGGGCACTGGACGCCGCCGTAGAACAACAGACCGTGAAGATCGCCGCCTAAGATTATTGCCCTTAAGGGACCGTTTCTCCACTACCAGGTCCATTGTAAATGACTGGTTTGCAGAACACGGAAGACCTATTGGCATGCGAAGTGTTTACCGACGAATGAGAAGTTTTGGCTTGTTTTCATACCGGCCACACTGGGTCTCCCCTTTAACTCGAGAACACCGACGTAATCGCCTTGAGTGGTGCAGACAACGGTCACTCTGGGATCAGGAATGGAACAGTATTGTCTTTAGCGACGAGTCTCGATTTTGTTTAGGCATGCACGATGGTCGTGCCAGGGTTAGAAGGCGACGTGGTGAAAGGAGGAATCCACAGTTTTTTGTTGAAAGACATGTTCATCACACGGTTGGAGTTATGGTTTGGGGTGCTATAGCTTATGGTTCCAGGTCACCTTTAATCTTCATCAGCGGTAACATGAACGTGCAGCGTTATATCCACGAAGTTCTAGAACCCCATCTTTTACCCTATCTTGACACCCTGGCAGATCCAACTTTCCAACAAAATAATGCCCGACCACATGTTGCAAGAGTCACAATAGACTTCTTTCAACATAATGATGTCACATTGTTACCATGGCCACCAAGATCTCCCGACTTATCCCCAATTGAGCACGTGTGGGATATGATGGGTAGGAGATTGCTCAATTTGCAACGTCCTCCTCAGACTCTAGAAGCACTTCGAGAGGAGTTGGTGGTTGCCTGGAATGAGATACCACAGGAGGACATTGACCACCTGATCAAAAGCATGCCCAAAGGGCTTTAAAGCAGTGCTATCATTTTGAAATTTTTATCATTTACTTATTATGCTTCATTAAGTACTTATACAAAATTTTATTAAAATAAAACCATTGAAACTGGGTGTTCGGATTTATATGTCACTTAGTATATATGTCACAGAAATCGATAGGAATAATTTGCTATTATAATACCCATTGATAATAATTAGATGCTAATTGTGTAACAAAAGTAAACGGACGTAAGTAATAAGAAAAGTGAAAATATATCAAGGTACTGGCAATTATGCAGATACAGGGTGATTTTTCATCCTAAATTTGATTTCAATAGCGATAATTTCATTTTTCATTTCTGATAAGAAACTGAAACTAAACTAGTTTCTTTGTCAGTATTCTCTCATTTAATATCTTTCTTTGTTATAGCCAATGCAGACTTATTTCCATCTTCTGAGAAGCTTATTAGGTTCAATGATGATGGGAAAGGCAACTTTTAGGTAGCAAACGCTACATACAACAAAATCTGATCAATCAACATAAAACCGATAGTGATATTTCGACCCAGTATTCAATTTTCATATGAACTCAGCCTATATAGTTGTTATCCTATGTAGTATTTTCATTAATACCTACTTTACAATAATTAAGGTAATTCAATCTATATTTCTCATTAAGTTTAAACGCTATACAACCGCAAGGCTGTTATTCAGGCATCAACACATTTGGTTCTATTTACTCTTTCAATTATATTTTTTGTTTGCAATACAATGCACTTAAACATATTTCACACTTATTAGTTCGTTATTTCTTCATTTGACGCTTTTATCCGCTTCAACATTAGAATACGGATATTAATTTCTTTACCGTTGTTTTAAGTATATCATTGTTGCTCGGTCTGTCCGCTAATCCTTGGCCCGTCCATAATTTGGAAACTAACTTTCGGATTTGGAAGAAACTATTATACAAGGGAACTACTTTGCAAAGGACGAAACAATTTTGCAGTTTTTGAAAATCGGTCCAATGGCCGCGGAGCTAGGGAGAAAAAACGAACGCTCAAACTTCGTTTTTTGACCTTTTTGGTGTGGTTAAAAATTAGGGGTTGGGGTTGGCCCTATCCTGGTAATTCTACGCATCTAGTGGATATATTCCTCACATCATAGATTTATTTGTATGCCTTTAAAAATAAGAGTGACGGACTGCTGTCTTCATTCGGGTCTAAAGGGCGTCGTCGGTTGGAATTTCTTCCTACATCGGAAATGGAAGGACCTCTGGAGAAGCTTGCCACTCTTGCTAGCGACCTTGAATCAAGACAGCAGTTTATCGAATGGCTGCGAACGCCTTAACCAATTTGTAAGACTGATGGAGTAATATTTTCGAAAGAAGGGTCTCTGGTCTGGATATACGTGCGTCGCGGCCCGGCCGATGGGTGTCTGCGTTTCGTAGTCGTTAGTGGCTAGTGTACTACCGTGAATGACAAGACGCGACGTCAGTCAATGCAAAGTTCATGGGCGCCCGCAGGGATTTTTCTCAGGGAAGAATTCTGTAAATTCCCAAAATTGATCAGAAAATTATGCTATATATGCTGATTTTAATTGTATGTGCCTGTATGACTAACTTGATCCATTCATCTTTTTGTTATACAGGGTGTTCCTTAATGATATGCGAATATTTAAGGGTGTGAATCTATATGAAAAATTAATGTTAGTTTGCTTTATAAGCTATGGTCCAAAAATGTTTCCTTACTCAAGGTGTGCAACTTTATTGACTTTCACTACGTACTAGATATAAGTGAAATATCTGAAGCGGTTCTGAAAATATTAATTAATTTCCATTTTTTCCTAAAACTTCAACACCCAGAGTTTTTGTAAGGAAACATTTTTCATGTAGATTCACACCCTTAAATATTCGCATATCATTAAGGATCACCCTGTATATGTTCGAAGCTAGCTTTTTTCAACTAAAGACAACGTTATGTTAACCTACTTGATGCCATTTTTCAATATGCAGAGAGCTGAAAATACCTCAGTTTGGCGGATTCAAGGTCCTAGAGACTGTACCAAATAAAAATTCCAAAATGACACTACCACTAACAAGGGTATTGGAAATCCTACTTTATTGGCATACCAGAGGGATGAAAATACATCTGAATGGTGCTTGTATTTCTTTTTCTGCCAATGACGACCAAACGCAGATGCAAGTGTCTATTGTCGAGTGGGATGAGATCCTTATTTACGCTGTTTACTTTCGATGCTACAGAAAAATTGGTGCTGGCATGCTTCTATGTATGCATAAATGGACTACTCATTGTTGGTGTTTAATATACGCTTCGTGCGGCAATTGTATAGGATAGGTTTCATACTCGCAACAATGCTATTATACATACATTCTTATGAATGGAGCAGCCACAGCATATCTTATAGGAATACAGCAAAGCAACCCCTCCACGGATTGTCCCGATACCTTAGGGATAAAACAGCGACTGTATCGGCCAGTTCTGGATGTACGAAATTCGACACGGATAGGAGGCCGAAGTCAGGCAGATCTGTCTGGCAGGCTCATTACGCGGCGGCATCATGGAAGAGAGCTCTGAGGAGCGAAACCCGTTGACATAGAGGCATTGATCAGTCGAACAGCCCTCCTCTGATCAGTATCGAGTATGGATAATGTAGTTGAGACGGCAGCCCCCAAACATGTGACGCCACACGGACTCTGGCGAGGGAACACGTGTGCATGCAACATGCACACATTCTGGCTCCGCCTACGAGATCCGCCGGGTGGTACCTCCGCGTTCGACAGTCAGAGACCGTCTACCACCTACGGACAATCACAACATCGATAGCCAAGAGAAA